GTTTTATTAGACAATGTGCCATGCTTAAAGTATTCACATTTCAAATATGAACAAAATCGCTCCACTACTTTTTGAGTTATAGTAAAATGCGTTAAAATGGCGGCCATTTTTCAAAATGGCCACGTTCTACCAAAAGTGTCATTAGAAATGGACACTGGGCCATGCTTATAGTATTCACATACCAAATATGAACAAAATTGCTCCACTACTTTTCGAGTTATAGTAAAATACGTTAAAATGGCGGCCATTTTTCAAAATTTTTTTCAAAATGGCCGCCTTCTACCAAAAGTATCATTAGACAGTGTGCCATGCTTAAAGTATTCACATACCAAATATGAACAAAATCGCTCCACTATTTTTTGAGTTACAACAAAAAGCGTAAAATGATGAGTAAAGGCCGCCATTTTTCAAGATGGCTGCCATGTGCCTCTTTAAGGTATGAGTACCGTAATCCAACACCAAATTCGAAAATTCATAACAATACTTTGCACATATGGCGTTCGTGACCAACTATAAAACGCTTACCCCCCATAGTGTTATATATCAAAATGTACCTGTTCATATAGGGGTTCGATTGATCTACATCAAATTATAGGGAGTCAGGTTACTTTTTGAGATATCAGCGCCATTTATTGTGACTCGCGTTTGCTACCACTTCCTCAATTCTGATGTGATGGGCAAACGCGTAGTAAACATGCTCACGTCGGAACTATTTTTGACCTACATCGCTATTTTCGTAATTCAAATGAAAGTTGAACTCCTCCTCTTTATTTTGATACCAAATAGTGGCATACTAGGTACCCTAGAAGCCAACTATGGCGTTATTTAGAACAATACCACGAGTTTTTAAATGGACTATATAGGGGTCATACCTTTTGGCGGATGGATATGGAACCTCATACCTTAATGTGTTATGACATCACACTGATTTTTGTCTCTGCAACTTTTTTTGGCAGAAAATATCATTTCTAGTTCAAAAATGCATAAAAACGTCGGAACTGGCTGAATATGTGAAAAATTTATCCATTTAGGCTAGAAAGGGTTAATTTGCCCTACCCCAAATACGTCTAAATACAAATATGCTAGTCTAACTTTGCCACTGTGACGTCACAAATCTAACCTGACTTTCTCTGAGTTTATTGAAGAAAATGATACGTCTGATAAACAGCTTTCATTCCCTATATGGCACACCTTCTACTAAGAGTTGCATCATTGACTAAATCTAAGACAAAGGCCCTGTGTCCCGAGGATTTTGACTGAAATTTGGCCATTTTCGTCCAAATCTAACTAAATTGCAGTTTCCCTCACCCCTGTATTTTGAAATAAATATTGCTACAATGTAGCAATTTGAAAATCACACATGCTTACTGTTTCTGTCGACCTGACACGTGTATCTAGCCTGTAAAAATGAAAAATCGCTACATTGTAGCAATTTCACTGAGATATGGGCCCCGAAAATCATGTAATTTTAGCAAAGAATGAAGAAATAACCTGCAATTTTGACGGAATTTCAGAGCGCTTTCTTTCATTCCAGACCCTCCACGGGCCTCTTATGACCATTCTTATACTCACAGAATGGTTGAAAGTGATTTCAAATCATTGTTTGCCCTACGCAGAATGAAAAAATCGATTCTGTTCTCAAATTCTGCTAGAATATTGGTCTCTGGCCAACTAGCAGACAATTTTAGGCCTCATATTAATGTGTTATGACATCACACTGATTTTTGTCTCTGCAACTTTTTTTGGCAGAAAATATCATTTCTAGTTCAAAAATGCATAAAAACGTCGGAACTGGCTGAATATGTGAAAAATTTATCCATTTAGGCTAGAAAGGGTTAATTTGCCCTACCCCAAATACGTCTAAATATGCTAGTCTAACTTTGCCACTGTGACGTCACAAATCTAACCTGACTTTCTCTGAGTTTATTGAAGAAAATGATACGTCTGATAAACAGCTTTCATTCCCTATATGGCACACCTTCTACTAAGAGTTGCATCATTGACTAAATCTAAGACAAAGGCCCTGTGTCCCGAGGATTTTGACTGAAATTTGGCCATTTTCGTCCAAATCTAACTAAATTGCAGTTTCCCTCACACCTGTATTTTGAAATAAATATTGCTACAATGTAGCAATTTGAAAATCACACATGCTTACTGTTTCTGTCGACCTGACACGTGTATCTAGCCTGTAAAAATGAAAAATCGCTACATTGTAGCAATTTCACTGAGATATGGGCCCCGAAAATCATGTAATTTTAGCAAAGAATGAAGAAATAACCTGCAATTTTGACGGAATTTCAGAGCGCTTTCTTTCATTCCAGACCCTCCACGGGCCTCTTATGACCATTCTTATACTCACAGAATGGTTGAAAGTGATTTCAAATCATTGTTTGCCCTACGCAGAATGAAAAAATCGATTCTGTTCTCAAATTCTGCTAGAATATTGGTCTCTGGCCAACTAGCAGACAATTTTAGGCCTCATATTAAGGTATGAGTACCGTAATCCAACACCAAATTCGAAAATTCATAACAATACTTTGCACATATGGCGTTCGTGACCAACTATAAAACGCTTACCCCCCATAGTGTTATATATCAAAATGTACCTGTTCATATAGGGGTTCGATTGATCTACATCAAATTATAGGGAGTCAGGTTACTTTTTGAGATATCAGCGCCATTTATTGTGACTCGCGTTTGCTACCACTTCCTCAATTCTGATGTGATGGGCAAACGCGTAGTAAACATGCTCATGTCGGAACTATTTTTGACCTACATCGCTATTTTCGTAATTCAAATGAAAGTTGAACTCCTCCTCTTTATTTTGATACCAAATAGTGGCATACTAGGTACCCTAGAAGCCAACTATGGCGTTATTTAGAACAATACCACGAGTTTTTAAATGGACTATATAGGGGTCATACCTTTTGGCGGATGGATATGGAACCTCATACCTTAATATCTACATTTGTAGCATTATTAATATCCTTTATAATTTTTTTACATTTACAACATATTGCTATTACAGTTTTACATATTGCACCTAAATTACTGTAAAATCGGCACTAAAATGGCTGCCATTTTAAAATGAGCGGCCATTTTCAAAATCGGCTTTCGAGCAGAACTTCTACCCCCATAGGGTATATGTGTACAAAATATGAACAAAATCGGGCCAACGGTATTTGAGTTATTGCCCGGACGGACAGACGGATGGATGGACGTATGTACGTACGGACGGACGGACGGATGGACGGACGGACGGACGTACGTATGGACGGACGGATGGAGGCGTTCCCTATATCCCTCCGAACTTCGTTCGATGGGATAATTATAAAAATAGGACCCAAGGTCCTGTGCTCACACATTTTGGAACCTCCAGAGGAATGTATATCCTGACTTTCAAACAAAAATATTGATTTGGATTTGTAGTCTCGAACTTTGAGAAACTTAGACAGCACAGTTGTGTGACCTAGCTTGATGACCCTTGACCTTGAAAATTTTACTTATTTAGAGCTCAGTAAGGTCTTTTGTGATTAAGCTGACTAAAATTTACATCCAAAAATCCTACTTTTTGTCAAATTTTATAGAGTAAACACCAAAAACTGCAATTCCAAGAGCTTTGAAATCTTCAGAGGACATAAGTCATTTGAAAGTTCTACTTAAACAAAGTGTCTAGTATTTACAGAAAATTTGACTTTTTGACGTCAAAATCAGCAATTTCTCGGAAACTGGGCGAGCTTGGGAAATGGCGATGATAGGTCAAATAGGCATTATGGATATGCATAAAATGACTGTGGATATGACTCAATCCGAATGGCAGTTTTAATTTGTGCGGCCAATGTTGACGGAAGGACGGACGGACGGACCAACGGACGGACCAACGGACGGACCAACGGACGGACCAACGGACGGACGGACCAACGGAGGGATGGACGGACGGACGGACGGACCAACGGACGGACGGACATCTGGTCGATCCCATAGGCTCACTGTGTGAGCCAAAAAGCATTGGATTTGTATCTTCACAAAAAACATATTTGGATACATGAAATAATTATATTACTTGAATTTTTGTATTCTCCATTTAAGTAAACCTATGGCAAATTACACAAACCTTCTCACAGCTTTGACCATTGATAAAACTGGTCAAGTGAACTCCTTTGAGTTAGATATTCGCCGTCACAATATCACAGAATGTGTGTTAATACAAGTTTGTATTTTAACAATGAAGTATAATATATACAGATGAGTTAATATAGATTTTTTAAATCAAAGGGTACAATTCTTTCATTGAAAAGTACAGAGGTGTGAACTTCTGTTACATAACATGTGCATTACTGAATCCAACTATTTCAACTAGCCACAGTGTACTAACAGCGAAAACATTCCAAATTTTCAAAACCAAAAATGGTTTTGCAACTTTAACACACAAGATCTCAACAATTAATGTGTTTATGCACTAATTTTTTGTTCTTACTCATAATTAGGTCTAGTTTGGTTGTGTTTAGAGCAAATTCACTTGCTAAGCAGGTAAGGAATATACAATTAATATTGTTTTAATTAGCGAGGTATCAATACAATAAATCTTTCTGGGTCTTGTCCACACATTTCATCATAGCTTCAAGAAGTTGTCCACGCTCATTACAAGGGGTGAGACTATAAACTGGCACACTTTTGAGCTTTGACATTTGAAGAAAGACATTTCCTAGACGTGAAGTTCTGAGCTTCAGAAATTGTAGTTTTCTGTCAATGTTTTATGAAATAAATGCTGAAATAATTTGACAGTTAAAATGGGCATTTCAAAAAGAATATGTCTTTCTATTCTTTTTTGCATGAATAGTTATGCATTTAACAACAGTTTACAATAAATTATTTGACAAGAATGAACTTTTAGGCCAAAGACAACCAGCAAAAAGCTGTAAACAACTAGAGGAAATTGCCATTTGCCTGCTGATGAAACCACTGTCAAGGCTGACTAAACTGAATATTTGAAAACTTACAAGTTTCACTGTAGTTCTCCCCTCTGCATTGACGCTGTATTCTACCACACAATATATAACAACTGCAACCAATGCTGCTATGAGGGCATATAGCTCATAGATTCGCTCTCGCACCAAACCATGAATAACATAAAATACACAGAATGCTGAAAATAGACAGTCCTAAGTTATAAAATGAGAATACAGTTCATACACTAAATATATTAATCAATGACATTAAAGATTTATAGTAAACGATTAAATATGCAAGGAAAAAATATTGTGAATCTGTGATAAAAGAAGACATGTACTTGCAATTCAGAACTAAAATGTCTTTGAAAATGCACTGTTAAGAATGTGAAAGCAAAAAATAACTGTGACGCTGAGTCCATTTCAATGTTTTATTTTCATCAATAAAACCTAAATCTAAGGAATCAAAAGACCACAGTGCTGTAATATATAGAAAAATGAATTGACATTGTACATGAATGACATTTTTGTATATCAGATTATTAGATTTATGTGATAAATTGAGAAAGAGTTGAAGGCATGCGAGGCGAATCCTGGAAACAAGGGTTCGGAAAAGCAGGGTTCACTGTTTATTTCCGTTGACAACTGTGCGAAACTACATTCATAATTCATACAACAGTGAACAGGAGGTTTATAGTCAGACCCGGGTGCGCCAATCCCTTATGTAAACAACTGTTTCGCGGACCAGGGTTTAAGGCCATTCCAAACGAAATAAGTGTTTAATGAGGACATGAAATATAAAAGTTCGTTTTATTAGAATTTAATACATATTCTTTTGTATCTACCAAGATGTTAAACATATTAGAAATGGTTATGTTATGATTGGACTAAAATGTGCAAAGCTAGAAGACTCCTTATACTCGTTCGTTCTCTATTTTGACTTAGATAATATATCAGTACAACGGCCACTAAAACGAGGAAAAATTGACCAGTAGAGAGCGATTTGAATCACATTTATTTTTATTTTATAAATATGGATAAAATTTGATTTAAATACAATTCCGCACTATTACCATCATCCAGTGTTGACAATTTCTGTTGTGTCAGTCTGGGTCAAAATCTTATAATGTGATTTGATAACGAGGAACCCATCTGATAAAAGCAATTTTGAAAACTCCCGAAAATAACACGAACGATTCTAATTATGAACCGTTCACATTTTTGCAAAGGCGGATTTGGAAGACGGCAAACCCAGGTTTTGAGGGCACGACTTATGGCAACAAGTACTTCTGAATAAATCTGTGGCCTCTTGCAATCTAAGGAGTCAGCCATGTTAATTTTTTCAAAAATAACAAAAAATAACATGGCAGAGAAACATTAAAATATGAGAGCCCAAACAGTATATTATGTATATTGTTAGTACCTCAGTGTAAATACTCGCATCTGATTGGTCAATTAGCGGTCAACAATTTTGCCTGTAACCCACCTATGAATCATGGGAAATAATATTATTGACCGCTTGTTGCATCTCATGCGTTATTGGTATGGACTGTGTGACTGTAATACGGATGTGAATTATGGGATATATATGACGTCATCAAACAAACATGGCCATGGCAGACGAACGATTTGTGAACGTTGACGAAGATATTATATTATCATTACTTGAAAACAAAGACAGCAAAAACACAAAGAGAAATATACGATTGACTATGACTATACTCGACGAATATGCGGTATTCAGTAAGGTGGCAAAAATAGAAAGTTTAAAGAGAGAAATAGATGTTGACAATTTTCTGCAAAAATTTTATGTCGGCGTTAGGAGAAAGGATGGGGAAATGTATAAAACAAAGACTTTCCAAATGTTGAAATGGGGAATAGGAAGATATTTAATGGATAAGAAGAAAATGGACATAAATGGGGAACATTTTAGAGGATCGAATGGTGTGTTCAAAGCGATGATTGTTGAATTACAGCGACATGGAAAGGGCAAGGTAACCCATAAGCCTGTCCTAGAGCCAGAAGATTTACGCAAAATCTACGAATGCTTGGATTTAAATACTCCAAAGGGGTTGCTGTATAAGGTCTTTATAGACATCATGATACATTTGTGCAGGAGGGGTCGTGAGAACCTTAGGTCAATGTCCAAAAAAACATTCCATGTCTGTTCTGATGGGACTGGGGCAAAGTTTGTGGAGCAAGTCACTGGAGAGTTGCAGAAAAACCACAGGGATGGTTCTTCAAGTTTGGCTGAAGGGAGAATGTATGAAATTAAAGGTGAGTCTAGTTGTACATTATACAACTACATAGAGTTATTGTATACAATACATCATATATGACTGTAGTCCATGAAGTGATGTATTGAAGTAAATTCCAAATATGGCCCTACATGTAACTGAGATGTGTCAGCCTAGGCCCCCCTAATACTGAGTGTACATGTACATATATACCTATCATAGGTGCATTCATTTATTCACTATACAATGTATGTAATATATCTTTCAGGAAATCCAATGTGCCCTGTGAAGTCTTTTGAGCAATACATGGCGAAGCTCAACCCAAGATGTGAAGCCTTTTGGCAATGTCCAAGTAGTGTCACATCAGCTACAATTGATCGTGCTGACTGGTATCAAGCAAAGCCTATGGGTCATAATACGTTAGGAGGTTTAATGAAGACAATCTCAGAACTCGCTCAACTCTCCACCATATACACGAATCACAGTCTTCGTTCAACTGCGATCCAAACTCTGATTGACAATGGTAAGAGCTTTTCGAAATATGGATCAATGATAGATCTTTGATATAATGATTGGCTTTCTAGGATTACCCCAATATAATTTACTTTTTATTATGAAATTTAGTGACTATTTATGTTTTTGTTTTCTTAAATTTTGTGAAAAGGGGGAGAAACAGTAACCAAAAATTACCAGGGTTACAGTTCGTCAATTGTCAGTAGGCTACATTAACCAGAACAGTATTAGAAAATGCATATACTTACAGTAATGTAAACACCATTTTTTCAGGGTATGACCGAGGAGAAGTGAGGAAAATATCTGGTCACAAATCAGAGACAAGTATCAGTTCTTACGCACATAGAATGACTTCTAACAAGAAGAGGAGAATGTCATCAACTTTGTCAGAGTCTCTTACTTCATCATCATGTTCAACTAAACCTGCTAATCTTGATTCTTCTGTGCAGGAGAATTCAAGCACTAAGATAAATGACAAAAGTGAACAGGGTCAAGAGAACTCAAATACTGCATCGGTGACACATTCTGGGGATATTGTGCAGGAGCTTTTTTTGTCAGATGACATGGATGATGAACTAGTGATGGCGACAAATGAAATACTAAATACTTTAAGTACTAATAAAAGCAGTGTATTGAGTACAAATGCCAGTGTTCCCATTGTATCGGATACAAATCCATGTACTAGTGCAAGTGCTCATAGTCACCTGAAGGCATTCAGCAATGACAAACTAGTCACTCCCTTATCTCCTATAAATGTACACAATGAAATGAATTTAGTTCCAAATAGTTTTAATTTTAGTAATTGCCAGGTGCACATCCATAATTATGGTCCAAGATAATAAACCAAGAACTGCCTATGAACAGCTTTGTACACATCAAGAGCTGTAGAAGACGTTTATATTTGACAGTATGATTGGGACTGTGGCCACTTGAAAAGAGTACAGGAGTACTGTATATGTTTATGTTATTGTATTAAGTCATTATTTATAACAAAGTTATTGTGAAAAATCTTCATATTTATGAAATAAATAGAAATATGTTTATGAACTTAAAACATTGTCATGATATTCTTAATGCAGCTAATAGTGTTGCATTATTTATTACACAGCATGGTAATTAGTTAATTACAGGCCTAGATTGGAATATTTCTTAATCGTCACTTTACCCTAGTCAAGTGCATGTCAGTGCTGCCATCTTAACTAAAGATAAAAGTTAAAAATATCTTATGGTAACTAACTTCCCTCGTAGGGTTGCAATCATGTAGTTTCTTCTGACTAACAAAACAATTGTAGACCTCCCCATTTGGTCAACCAACAAAATTATATACCTCGACTGTAAACCTTGAAACTACTGTTGACCTCGACCTTCGGTCTCGGTCAACAGTAGTTTCGCGGTTTACAGTCTCGGTATACAATTTTGCCTGTTGACCTCTGGAGAGGTCAACAATTGTATATTGTATAGTATTGTATTGTATTTTGTTTACCACAAATGAGGGTGAGCAATACCTCTTGGGTTATCCGTGCCGGGACTATAGTCCTGTACCGAGCTCAGTCTTTTGCCTGTACTTTAATGTGCACTCATACATAGCCATACAACCACTAGGGCAGAGCATTTGTACTGAAAGGAGCGTTTTCAGTACAAATATGTACTGAAAAATGTACTAGTTTTGTTTCAGTACAAATTTAAGTATATTTTTGTATTGAAAAATGCACTGAATTTTTTCAGTATATTTTTCAGTACAAATTCATGTACTGAAAAATATACTGAATTTTAAGTACAAATTTAAGTATAAATATGTACTGAAAAATGTATTGAATTTTAAGGACAAATTTAAGTGCAAAAATATACTGAAAAATGCAATGAAAATTTAAGGATAAATTTAAGTACAAATATATACTGAAAAATGTACTGAAATTTAAGTGCAAAAGTCAGTATAAAAATGTACTGAAAAATATACTGAAATTTACGGATAATTTTAAGTATGAATATATGCAATGAGAAATATTTGTGCCCAATAATGGAAATAAGAGAAAACGTAAATGTAAGGCATACTTTATAAACTCTAAATCACTCAAAAAGTTCTTAGAATGGTGAAAAAGTGCATGATTTTAAAAGAATTTTTAGCTGGGGGGGGGGGGTTCGCTTGGACCCCTGAAACCCCCCCCCACAGGAATGCTATTACATTATGAAATTATTTTGGATGCTTCCTTTACAGCAGCCTTTAACCAAACTTAAAAGAGTCTCTCTGTAATCAGGTTTGTTTTGCCTTGTCAAAATATTTTGTTTTGTAAGTTGACTAATAAAGTTTCTTTAGACACATCCTTTAAAGCAGACTCTAATCAAACTGGAGAGGCTAGGTTTACTGTAATTAAGTGATTTATTAAAATGGCCTAAATCACTCAAAAAGTTCTTAGAATGGTGAACAAATGCATGATTTTAAAAGAATT